TTTGGCTATAACTTTTGTACTATGGGTGCTACTAGGACTTTCACACTTCACATACATATTCTCTGTAATAATACCTTTCATTGGATACCAAAAATTTTGACCCTTTGAACTTGGAGTTTAACCTACGTTTAAAAAAAAAATTTAATCGTGGCCATAAATATTACACAGTTACTGTAAGTGCTAGGGCTTTCATACTTCACATATGTTATCACTGTATCAACACCTTTTATTGGATACCAACAACTTTGACCCTTTGCCCTTGGAGTTTGACCTACTTTTAAAATAACTTGGCCATAACTTTTGAACGGTAAGAGCTTGGGTTTTCATACTTCCCATATGTAACCCTTGTAACAAGATCTTTCATTGGATACCAACAACTTTGACCCTTTGACCTTGGAGTGTGACCTGACCTCCTTTTCAAAACTTGGCCATAATTTATGAACGTTAAGGGCTAGGGCATTCATACTTCACATATGTAATCCATGTGACAAGACCTTTCATAGGATGCGCCGAACAACTTTGATTTAAAAAACTTTAACTTTGGCCACAACTTTTGAACAGGTGGTGCAAGGACTTTCACATTTGAAAATTGCATTTCTTGTCAGAAGGTATTACTTTGGGTACCAACCTACTTGATTTGGAATTTGAGAAAGTTTAACCTTAATTCGCTATGTTGCCATATGGGGGCATCAGGTAAATTTTATAGTTTGTGGTGTTAAATAATGACCTTACATTTTTTCTTAATACAAGAAAAACTTCAAAATGTTGTTTTAAAACATTATTGTATTTGCAACTTCATTGTCAATAGCCTGCCTTGGTTAAAAAAATCTGACTGTATAAAAGTGTGCTCTTGTCCTTGATGTGTCTAATGCGTAAGAAAAATTGTGAACATTTAAAACCATAAAAGCAATAATATTGGAATACAATTTCTCAATAAAGAAAGTTGCAATTTGTCATATCAGTACTGTGTTAGATGTTAATTTTTAATGAACGACTTTTTAGTTAAACAACAAAAAGTTTAAAAAATAAAAGATCATTAACCTTTTTCTAAGTGGGTAAATACAATTACTTTAAGAAAAACTTTTTAAAAATTAACATGGTTTATAACATGGATTATGTCAATTCTCAATAGAATGAGATAAAAATAAATCTGTTGACTAAATGTTTGTAATTTGGAAGGAAGTCAAAGCGAATGTTGCCAAATGTTTTCTTTACTGTTTTGTAAAGTAGCTGTTATATCAGATGAATGTTGAGCAATCAGACCATATGCACTATTGTTCATTGTAATTTAATATCCCTCACCTGAAGCCTATCCATGTATAACCCAAATATCAAAATAAAAGCTAAACGTAGGTTGTTTTTAAAGTATCAAATACCTTTTTCGTTGAATCATATTCGAAGAAGGAAGTTATACTACAACAATGAAACCATCAGACATTTACTTCAGCCAAGATTCTATCAAAAAGGAATTTAATAATGGATATACAATATACTCTACTCTTAGTGCCTGCAGAAAGCATCCCTTTGTTATCGATGAGATTTCTCCGATAAGAGTTTGCAAGAAAAACGGAAGATGGTACACTCTGGACAACCGTCGACTTTGGGTCTTTAAGAGATTGGAAGAAGAGGGACACATCAATTATGTGAGAATCAAAGAAGTGAGCCCCAAACAGCTGACCGATGATAAATTCACTACGAAAAATGGAGGCGAAAGTGTGGAAATTCGGCAAAGTTTTAACGATTTCGGTGCGCGTGATTTGTTGTTCTAGCTATTCACGCCGGGGTACAGACTATTCTTACTCCTAACATTTATTTCGTCATCATTTGGATTCGTTCAGTATGGCTTGTTCTTTGGCTTTATGTCTCCCTTGACTTGATCATCTTGACATTTCATTTCGTTTGATTGTCTTTTAATTGTGTTGTATTTAATCTGTATATATTATCCCCAGTTTGCTCTCTAATATTATGAATTTAAGTTCATGATTATATAATCTTTAACATGAACATTTTACTAAGAACTTCTGAATTATAATTAGAAAAATATCGACATCACTCTCAGTCTTGCTTATAACAAAAATTGTGTAATTTATAAATTGAATGGAAGATATTGAAAATATATACTTTAAAGAAGGCAAGTAAAAAACGAAACACCAAGAAAGTTTTAGAAAAATTTTTGGCAATGGTTACAAATTTGCACATTTTAATGCCTGTAACAGGATCCACTTGTCATCTATAAGACCTTTCTGATAATAACCTTATACGAAAAAAAAATAATCGTATGTTGCTTAAGTTACATTGAAGTTTTTTTTTTCTCTTGACAAATTAGAAAATATCATTACAGAGGGATTCATATATAAAGAAAGTTTTGAATTTAATGTTTTACCATTAGCAACAGATCTGTCTGAGATTGGAAACTGAAAGTACAATGTAGCAAAATATTCAATTAAATATTTTATAACGGAGTGAAAAGATGTAAATTCTTTATAGAATTGCTAAATAAATGTGTTTTACATAGTGATTTTAAAGAAGAACGATGAACAAATATTTATTTCTTTTATTTTGCAAAGTACAATTTTCACTTCGTTTATAATGTACTGTTTATATGATGTTTTTTTTAACGTTATGAAAACGTTTTGGACAATAATATACTATTAATGGAAGCATTGTCATTTATGATATTTCGATAATCAATTGGGAAAATACCCCCTTTTTAAAATTAATTCCTGTGACGTAATAACACTTGGAATTCTTCCATGTCCATGTCACGAAAAACTAAATATTTTTTGTTAAGAAGTCAAAGAGCAAATGCGTGTGAAGTAGAATAGACTATATCATTAATTAAGTTTCCAAAGAAACTTAAGGTCTAGGATTGAAAATGGCAATGATTGACAACAATAAAGTTAGGTACGTAATAATGAATGGTTATCGTTTTATTTTGAAAGGAATCGTTTACACACAGATAAATGAGAAATTAAAAAAAAACGGCTTGAAGAAAATGGACTGTGCTGATGATTATCAAAATAATTTGACATGCTGTAAACCTACACCTGCTAACTAGTTGGCCTTACCATATATAATTTGGAGACCTAAATTGACTTTAAAAATACCTAACCTCACCACTATTATAATTGTAATTATTTATCATAATGTTGCATTCACATTCTTTCTTGTTCCAAGGTTTAGATGAAACTTGGAGATAACGAAAAGTATTCAAGATCTAAAGTCCATCAAACAATACAAAATAGGAGAAAAGCAAACACGGACCTCCAAAATATCAGTCGGGATCAGTTGCCATGGAGAAGTGAGCATCCCTGCCGACTGATCATGATCGGGAAATAACGGAAAATTCAGTGTGTAATGGGTAGACGCATGAAAAACGGCAGTCAGAATTTGACTCAATGATAAATTGTATTTGCTGACAAGGTCATTGTTACGAAAAGATGACTTTTAACGAGATTGCTGATATTCTTGTTTCATCAACTTGTTTGTCAATATTTTACCTCGTTTTAGAAATTGTTCAAACGTAAAGCATGCTCTTGTACATTGAATCAACTGAGATATATAAGCTCCGTATGCAGGTGATGAAGGTATATTTGTATTTTTTATTTTAAAAGTTTCAAGTTTATTTTATTTCTTCAAACATTTCTTCGAATCCGTCTCAAGTGCAAAATACCGATATTTGTTAAAATTATGTACAGTGGGACCCTTGTTTGATAATTTTTTTTATAGAAATATAGAGGAACAAATCTCAAAATAAGCAAGATCCATCAGGTGAGCATTGTAACCAATGGACCTCTTGTTATGTCTGAAAATATCTATAACACATGCATTCAATTTTGATGATAAAGAACAGTACTGTTTCCCTGTTTAAACAAGTAGGTAAAAAGTTCATTGTGACATACAAATTGGGAGCAGAACAAACATCAGAGGTTACATGTAGATCAGGTGCCATGGAGGAGTGAGCATCCTCTGACAACCGGTCACTTCCACTGTCTGTTGTTTGTCATGATCTAACAAACTGAAAAATTCATTTTGAAAAAAAAATGGCCTAACAATTTTCTTTAAAAAAAGTTACATGTAATCAACTTTTGTCTAATGACTGATAGATTGTGTTTGCTATCAGGGTGATTGTATCTACCCAGGGATTTGTGAAATATAGTCTTTAAACGGGACTGTTAATATTTTTGTACCAACATCTTATCAATAACAGCTAACCTCGTTACAAAAATTTTCATACGAATACCATATGCTATTGTGTATCAAACAAACTGAGAGACATTAACTCCATAAAGATAAATGAGGGAAGTTGACGATAGAAAATCTGATATCATTTCATGATGTAATAAAGTATAATCTTCTGGGATATGTCAAATTGATGTAATGAAAAATAATATTGTAATTAATAAAACGTCACAAAATATTTAAATGTGATTGTCAAAAAGTCTTTTTATTTTTACAAGACTAGAGTAGACATTTTTGATTAAATTTTGTCTTCATATGAATAAAAAAGTTGTCTGTTTATATGGAAATGTGCTATCATAATATTTTTTAAAAAGCAATCTTGTTGAGGATAAAGAAAATTAAACATTTAAATTGTTTTTTCGATAAAATGTATTTAGAGGACAGTAAATACGGCAAAATACATGATTGCAGCATTTTCTCACTAGTTCTTTTTTTGTTTCTGGATGTTGAAAAAAAAGTACAAGAGAATACGTCTTCGTCTTCAACCAATTGTGTAATTACGTCAATTATAATAGAATTTTCCCAGTAATTTTTCCAAACTGTTTAAAGCCTTTAAAAATTTGAATTATACATTTCTAAATAAGCAACAAATCAAACCAACTGTGAAACTAATTTAAATGCATTACAAATGATATACATGTACATGTAATTTACAGAAGATTAATGGTATTGTTGTTCTGAAATTGATCTCCAAACTTTCCTTCGGGGAATTCCAAAATAAAAATTCCAAATGTATGGAGTATATATTTGATAGGCACATAATTTTCTTCTTATTGCAATTTGTTTTTCAAGATGCAGAAACTTGTTAGTCTTATTTTTATCCTTACTCTAATTGCGCTTTCGTGTGCATTATATCACACTGAACGTAAGTATAAGTGATTTTGTTCAACCTTTTTTGTTTATTCAAGAGAAATATTTTTTTGTATTCATAAGTATCAGTATTATTAGTATTTTTGATTTGTAAAAAAGTCCCCCATAAATGCTTGCACATTGACGAGTTACTAGTAATTCTATGTTCGAGTATACTGTGGCCTGGTCTTTTCGTCCCTCAGTCATACCATGTTCTTCAAAATATTTGTGGTGCTCCAAATAAGTGCAAAAAAGGTTTTAAAATTTTCATTTTCAGCTGGAGGGCAACTCCAAGTAAAAGAAGAGTTTTCATCCATAATATATATATATATATATATATATATATATATATACAAAATCCAAATTCAAATGATAAACTCAAACGGGACTGTTAATATTTTTGTACCAACATCTTATCAATAACAGCTAACCTCGTTACAAAAATTTGAATTATACATTTCTAAATAAGCAACAAATCAAACCAACTGTGAAACTAACCTCGTTACAAAAATTTGAATTATACATTTCTAAATAAGCAACAAATCAAACCAACTGTGAAACTAATTTAAATGCATTACAAATGATATACATGTACATGTAATTTACAGAAGATTAATGGTATTGTTGTTCTGAAATTGATCTCCAAACTTTCCTTCGGGGAATTCCTAATTAAATTAGATAAAAGTTTGAGTTTATCATTTGAATTTGGATTTTATTTTATCCCTATACCAAGGAAAAATAATTTTTTGATATATATATATATATATATATATATATATATATATATATATATATATATATATATATATATATATATATATATATATATATATATATATACGATTATATATTTAACTTATATATTTTTCCAGCTAAAAGCTGATGAATAGGTCAGTTTAGCCGATACTTTGGACTTAGAAGACGAGGTCCATCTTTTGTTTGATGTTTATCTTTTTTTTCTGTTTTTTTTTTTTTTAAGATTTCGAATTCCATTAAAGCCACAGAAAACTCTTTCATACGCAGTGATACCTTGAACCGGATTAAAAAAGGAATGCGTCTCTTGCGTTTAATTTCTAGGGAAATTGTCATAATAGGATTGTTTTATTTAATTCATTTTCCATCTTCAGAAACAATACGACCGATTTATTTAACCCCTTGCTCTGGAACATCATTGCATTGCTCAAAAACACCAACAATTATCTTGCAAAGAGTAGTTTTATTGTATTAGAGGAATTTTGGGAGTCGGGTTCTCGCAGAAAAGATGCCATTTTTCAACTCTGATTTAGCCTCAGTCTGAAAATGACAACTCTGAAACCTTGCTGCTTATCTAAAGGACACCACCTACATGTATTACATTTTAACAAATGAATTGATAACTGCTGACACTGTGAGAGGAAATACCAGCAAGAAAAAAGTGTGACAGACAGACAAATAAGAATAAAAACAATAAACCTTGAAAAAAATTGTTTGAAATGCTGGTATACAAAGTTTAAAGTTTGGACCTTGATAAAATATTACATTAAAACGATTAGTGTTTTTTTACTTGTTTTTATTTACAGTCCCTGAAAGCTGCAGAGCACTATGCGATTCAGATGGATGCTATTATTTAAGACGACATTCACATTGCGACCTTTGTTGTTTATTTCCAGAATGCCGCAGCTGTCTTTGGCGTGGTAAGTTCACTGTGTCACAATATTTTTTTTAAAAAGTGTTAATTTGTTCAGTATATATACTCTGCATAAGATTATGTTAAATGTCTTTAAAAGGAAAAATGGTATTTAACAATTATTCTGAATCCTAACTGTAGCATATAATTTAATGAACGTGCGTGCTGTCTTTCTGAAAGTTCTAATTAAAAATGACTTCAACGAGAGAGAGAGAGAGAGAGAGAGAGAGAGAGAGAGAGAGAGAGAGAGAGAGAGCAACTTGATTTATAGCTACGCGATTTGAAGTTAAACAATTTAGTTTAAAAAATATTTGTGTTTCCAAAACATTTCTAATCAGGTTTTTAAACAAGTGATGATAACTTTGTGCAAGTTTTATATCATGTATAGTTTTCGTTTTTTAAAGCATATTTTAATGTTTTGATCGAGGATAAACAAAATGTGTAAAAATCCATAAATGTGCTTTAATTAATGAACTATAATAACTCGAAAAGAATCAGGCCCGAGGGTCATGAAACTTTATAGGCTATACTAACATTTTGCAGAAGACAAACACTGAAAATTTGACTTAAGTGTCAGTCTGTTCCATGATCCTAAAGTCTATTAATTCAATTATGTTTTTTTAATTAATCTTTTTTAATTATTATATAATTATATTCTTCCTTTCAGGGTGACTTCCCCTCTTTAGAAGAAAAACCAAACAAACAGAGCAAAGAAGATTTATCCTTTGTGTAAAATGAAATAAAAATAAAATTAAACTATTGATCAAACTTTCCGAATGTTATCTTACCAAAATAGAGTGTTTTAACAGATCTGGACGATTTCCAAATATGGAAGTCAAGAACGATAACTGAAAGTTGTTATAAATGTACATCAAGTACACGTAATTATGTTTCTGTTCAATCAGACAACAGCATTTTACATACCCCAAAACACAATTTAAAAGAACAATGAGATAACGCGTGCTTTTGTTTTTTTTTTCCTCAAAAAGATTTTTTAACAAAAAAACTATTAAATTAAGATGAAACTTTTGAAGAATACAGTATTCCCCACATATTTACCGTGAACAACATTGACATTTTTATATCGATAACGAAATAAAAAATTATGCATGATACAATGTAATTGTTTACGGAGGAATAAATCACATTTATTTAGTAAGTTCTTATCAAGTTCAGTTATAAAGTTTACCAGAATATAAGCTATATGTTGGAAAATAATTTTGCTTAGCCGTCCGATTTTCATCGATGATGCTTGAATTCCATGTGTATAGATCCACTTGACACTTGTAAGTGTTTATCGTATGGACTATCTGCAGATCTGTAGCTCTCCGAAAAAAATTTTTGATAGACCGGAGAGCTACAGAGCCACCCATTGAAAAAACTGTATATTTATTGCGCACAAAAAACGCTCGGTTTTCGATTTATTCCCCCATGGTTTTAAAGCTGTAATTTCAAAATATTACTAACCGTGTGTCCCTAACATATTCTTTGACTCTTTCCACAACAAAACATTCTTCATAATTGTTATTAATAGTCCTCCTGGCCCTGATATTGCAATCATCAGACATTTCGCTTATTTATACTGCCATTTTGGTTTCAAAGATAATTCGGTCCAATATGCTTCGTTCAAATGTCAACTACGAGAGAACTTGATAGAGGAGAAAGTAATTTTTTGAAATTATCCATTTTTTGCAATTGAGGTAAGAATTTAGAAAAATTAATCAAGGATCGAGCACACTTTTTGTGCGCAATAAATATACAGTTTTTTCAATGGGTGGCACTGTAGCTCTCAGGTCTATCAATATATACTTTTTAGGAGAGCTACAGATCTGCAGCTACGTATGGACTAAAGATAGTTTTAAAATATCAAGGGTTTCATGAGCACAGAATATTTATTAAGCTATGCAGCCTTACGGCACCCATAAAGAAAGGCGTAAAACATGGAAGAAAGAGAATAATTATACATGAATGCGACTTATCCCAATATCTTACCTCGCGTATGAGAAACTGGATATGGACGATTTTGTAATAAACACTTAGAAAAAAAAATTAAGACAAACATTCATTCAATGCGATGTTTATGTCAGACTAAAATAAATCTGAAAAAATTCCGTATTTATATCAAATTTTTAACTTTAGATTAACTTTTGGGATTCATATCTCCTTTACTGACAGATTTGTAGAATTGTCATAAATATTATATTATTCTTAAATGTGCATTAAGTTTACAAAAAGTTTCTTCTAAAAAATTCTTTTGAGCAAAAAACTTTTAAACCACGTGTTTTATTTATTTTTTTTCATGGGTTTGTCTAAATGCTGTTATCTGATTGGTCAAGAAGGACTAGCACCTTGTTTATTCTGTGTATTTATAGCAATTCACGGTTATCGCTCTTGATTTCCTTATTTAGAAATTGTTCAGACCTGTTTATATTCCGTTTTTTTTAATATTGATAACCTTTCATTTACAAGTGGACCCAGATTTCAGAGACATTAATTCCATAAAGATAAATGAGGGAAGTTGACACTAGAAAATTTGGTCATCACGTGATATAAAATGTTATATAAGTATATTATAGTATGATGGTGTCTACTATTTCGAATTTGAAGGGATATGTCAAACTGACAAAAACGTAAGAATGAAAAATAACACATATCCAAAATATATCATGATAAATCATGTCAACGTTTAAATGTTCTTCGCACCCTTAAATACAAATTAAACAGAGATTCTCTTATTAGTATTTATTTTGTTTTTATAAGGCCTATTTTAGAAAATGGAAATGTAGTATGGGATAATTGCACACAGGAAAAGAGTAATATATAAGAGAGTGTGCAAAAAAGAGGCTGGACGTATCATTTCTGGGTTAAGGCGCAATTCTTCGAAACAAAAGTTGTATAATGAATTAGGATGGCAAACGCTTAGTGAAAGAAGAACTAAACATAAGCTTACACTTATGTACAAAATACTTAATGATTATACACCTGAATATTTGCAAGAAATGGTCAATCAATGGCTACCTGTTTCACATAATTACACCTTACGCAAATGTTTGTATCACTTACCAATCACTAGAACAATTGCATACTACAATAGCTTTTTACCATCTACAATTAAATTATGGAATGATTTGCCAGATAGCTTAAAATTTGTAAAAAGTGTAGCAAAGTTTAAACAGTGTATGCAAAATAAAAATCTTGAAGATAAAACAAAATCCAAATTATACAATTATGGACAAAGAAAATTAAATATACTCCACTGTCAGTTGAGAAACTTCTCTAGTAATCTTAGTGCAGACTTGTTTAATCATAATTTCGTTGATTCACCTAAATGCTTAAAATGCGGCTATTGTTTTGAAGACTCTGTTCGGTTTTTTTTTCAATGCCCATGTTATGATTTTGCCGGGAACATTTTAATTACACACATGAGTGACCATGACATACCAAGAGATGTCAATATTGTATTATCAGGTTATGATTGTCTACCTCTTAGAGAAAATATGTTATTCTTTGACCAAGTTCATAATTTATATATATATATATATATATATATATATATATATATATATATATATATATATATATATATATATATATATATATATATATATATATATATATATATATATATATATATATATATATATATATATATATATATATATATATATATATATATATATATATATATATAAAACAACACTAAAAGATTTTAGAATTAGGAAATATATTAAAAAATGTGCAGCATGTCTTTCAGTCTTGACCTTTAGGTTGAAAGTAAACATAAACATGCAAGTATGGGTCTGAGTATTCTTCTCCATATTCTAATTACTTAATTTTGGGGGTTTTTTTTCCCATCATTATTTAAAAAATTATTTCATTGTTTTTTTTTTACGCATTTTTACCCCTCAATTTTTCTTCAATCATGTATTCTTTTCAATTCTCTCAATATTAATTTATAATACATGTTTTGTGGAACTTAAAGTATGTACGGTAATTTAACTGTACCTGATCTCAAATGGAGAGAACTTTTATATCAAGAACCACTGGTCCAGGAAAGATGAAACTGATGTGGAATCATCCTCAGGTAGTGTAGATTAAAATTTTTTCAAATCATGACCTCTGGGGCAAGGCTGGGGCCAAAATGGCCGATCAAAATTTTACATAGGAATATATAGGGAAAATCTTTAAAAATCTTCTTATCAAGAACCACTGGGCCAGGAAAGATGAAACGCATGTGGAATCATCCTCAGGTAGTGTAGATTCAAGTTTGTTCAAATCATGACCCCCGGGGGTTGGGTGGGGCCAAAATGGCCGATCTAGGTTTTACAAAGGAATATATAGGGAAAATCTTTAAAAATCTTCTTCTCAAGAACCACTGGGCCAGGAAAGATGAAACGCATGTGGAATCATCCTCAGGTAGTGTAGATTCAAGTTTGTTCAAATCATGACCCCCGGGGGTAGGGTGGGGCCAAAACGGCCGATGAAAGTTTTACATAGGATCATAGGGAAACCTTTTAAAATCTTCTTTTCAAGTACTTCAAAGCCAGGCTTCGTTATATTTATTGGGAATCATCCTCAGGTAGTGTAGATTCAAGTTTGTTCAAATCATGACCCCCTAGGGGGGGGGGTTGTAAAATTCAAGCCACCCCCCCCCCCCAGTTTACTTTCAGTTCTGATCTGATCTGTGTTTTTTCCTAGCCAATTGCTCAGGTGAGCCATGTGGCCCCTGGGCCTCTTGTGTTTTTTAAAGAGCAATCTTGATGAGAAAAAAGAAAATTTAATATTACTTTACTTTTATATGTATTCAGAAGACAAAAATTACGGCAAAATACATTATTGTAGCAGTTTTGTCTATTTTCTCACTAGTTCTTTTTTGCTTCTCAATGATGAAAAAAATACAAGAAAATATCTAGGATGCCATATGAATATTGGATTTTCCTTTTTAGCATCACATCAAACAATATTTTTGTAAACGCCTACTATTCTGAGTATTTTGTTTACTGTGAAGGTGACATGAGAATTGAACGCTACATCGTGTTTTCTTTTCAACCAAATGTGTAATCAGGTCAGTTATGATGGGATATACCCAGTTGTTTAAAGTAATTTTTCCAAACTGTTTAAAGGCAGAGATTTTTTACCTGGTGGTAAATTCCAGGTGAGTCTTTGCATTTTGAATTATACATTTCTAAATGAACAACAAATCAAGCCAACTGTGAAACTAATTAAAATGCGTTACAATTGATATACATGTAATTTACAGGGCACAGAAGATTAATGGTATTGTTGTGCTGAAATTGATCATTGAACTTTCCTTTGGGAAATCATAAAATAAAAATTCCAAATATATGGAATATATATTTGATAGGCACATAATTTTCTTCTTATTGCAATTAGTTTTTAAAGATGTGGAAACTTGATAGTCTCATTTTTATCCTTTCACTAATTGCGCTGTCGTCTGCATTACTTTACAGCGATCGTAAGTATCTATATCACTGTCGTGATCCCGTGCCAGATTGGACAAAACAAGATGGCGGCGGGAACAAATCGTAAAAGGTAGGTACCTGAGATTTCGGTAAATATCTCCCGTTAACCGTCAGATATGCTTGATTCGAAGATACTGTCGAATTCCTAGTAAAATGCTTATTAGTGTGTTTAATTGCTACTTTTCCTATCGTCTCTTAAACTTGAACATTTAACGACTGAAGACTGCAGAATTTCTCCGATTGAGTTTGAAGCGGTATGGAGTTGTTTTTTTCTTCG